CATGATTGCACAGAACACTGTTTACCTTCCCACCAAAGTGGTACCTATTTATCTACTCGCATTTGCATGCTTTCGAACTGCTAGGTTGACAGAAGCTGGGACTAGTGACGGGAGCTGACCCCATCATGCAGCACCTGGACCTCGAATTGCCAACCTGCCGATCTTGCAATCAACAGAGTCGGCATCTTAACCACTTGAGCCACTGCATCCCTGTACCCCTAAGCCCAGCAAATGTGGAGGACCCACTGAGTTTCTGCAGTGTAGATTAGACTGCTCTCAGGTACGTCAGGATGGAAATATGACTGAGCTGCCAGATTGCCTATCCTTACACTATGTCACATAGGGAGTGTGGTGAGGTCTCATTCTTTGGAAGTTTTTAACCAGAGGCTGGATGGCCATCTGTCGAGGATGCTTTGGTTCTGTGTTCTTGCATGGTAGGGAGCTGGATTGGATGGCCCTTGGGGTCTCTTCCAACTCTAGGCCTATCCACCTGATCTCCCCAATTGTAACTCCGAAGCCTAATTGTACTATCTGATATGGCCTCCCAGATATATGAAGATGACGAACAATCTGTGCACAAGATTGGGTACTGGATTTTATTATATGGGTTGTGGGTTTTTTTATTATTGTTATGATTTTATATATTGTATTTTATATATTGTATTTTTCTATATTTCTCTGTAATCCTGCCTCGATCCGTAGGGAGAGGCAGGAAAATACAAATAAAAACTATTATTATCATTATTATTATTATTATTAGGGAGATTTTCACATGGGCAAAAGTGATGGGAGCATAGCAGGATGCTCCCGTCACTATCACACAATTGCATTTGATGACATCACACAACGTCATGATAATCGTATCATTATTCCACGAATACAGAGGAATTCTAGCGTCACTTTTCATTCATGGGAACATGAAAAGCGGTGCTAAAAATCCTCTTTATTCACAGGATATTGATGCGATTATTGCAACATAGTGCAATGTCCGATAATCTTTGTGCAATTGCACGATAGTGACAGGAGCATCCCACTGTGCTCCTGTCACTTTTGCCCATGTGAAAATCTCCTAGGATTCTATAATCCTAAAATGTGAGATGAGTAAGGAGTGGGATTTGAACCCACACCTCCATTCAGAGACTAGAACACCCAGAGCAGGGAAAGCTCTGACTCATGCCTGCTTCTGCTGCCAACCTGGGTTTGTATGCATGCCCAAAGCATGCACTTTTGCTACTATCATGTAGGGTTTGAGCTTCTAGGTAACAGCAAAAGAGAAGGGCAGGGGAGGAATCTGTCAGGACTGCCAAGTAGTTTAAGTCATCAGACTTAAGGCATTGACTTCCCCTGCTCTGGATGTCCTGCTCTCCTAGGCATGGGTTCAAATCCTACTTCTGACAAATCTAATTTTTGAGATGTAAAGCAGGGATAGGGAAGCTGGTGCTATTGTTGTTGTGTGCTTTCAAGTCATTTTTGACTCATGACAAACCTATCACAGGGTTTTATTGGCAAGATTTGTTTTGGGGGGGTTGCCTTTGTTCTTCCTCTGAGGCTGAGAGAGTGTGACCAAGTGGGTTTCCATGACTGAACAGGAATTCAAATACTGGTCTCTAGAATCATAGTTCAATGCGCAAACCACTATGCCACAGAATCATAGAGTTGGAAGAGATCACAAAGGCTATTCAGACCAACTCCTTGCCATGCAGGAACTCAAAATCAAAGCATCCCCGACAGATAACCATCCAGCCTCTGTTTAAAGACCTCCAAAGAAGGAGACTAGAAGGAGCTAGACATAATGCTAGCTCTCCCTCCAGATATTGCTGGACTTCTTGACCACCGACCATGTCTTTTGGCTGGGACTGATTCTAGTTGAAGTCCAAAAACATCTGGAGAGCAGCATTTTACCTACTCCTGAGTCATATAGCTTAGAGATCTGGGTTCCAATCCTCACTCAGCCATAATCCTCATTGGGTGAGATGCTTTCTCTGCCTCACCCTCTTCACACTATCGTTGTGAGGATAAAATAGAAGGTGAAGAATCTTGAGTTCTTTGGTGAAAGAACTTCTGTTCTTCTGTTAGTAAAATAAATACAAGGGAGATGTAAATGGACAACTCTGTCACTGCAGCTCTCAAGCAAAACTGAGAAGATAGTGGTGGTGAGTCAAGTGGTGATGGAAAAAGATCCAAGAACACTGCCTCAATGCATCTGCTCCCTTCCCAAGCCATTCCTCGACATTGAATTTTACATGTTTATGTAATTTTATACTATTTTTAGCTAGTTGATTTTCATTTTTTTAAAAAAAAATATTGTGAAGTTTTAAAATTGTTTTATTTGTGAACCGCCTTGGGTCCCTTTCTGAAAGACAGCATAGAAATCAAATAATTAATAATTTGCAATAATAATAATAGACAGATGACAATCACACTGGGCTTGGGGAAAAATATTTTTGGGACTACAGCTCCCCAAATCCATCCATGTTGGTTGGAGAATTCTGGGAGTTACAGTCCAGAAAAGTAATTTTACCAAACTCTGCAACCCTACCTATCTCACCAGATGAAATCTGACTTGTGAGCCGCCTTGGGTCCCTTTCTGGGAGAAAGGCAGGATTAAAAGTGAAATAAAATAAAATAATAAATATGAAATCTGAATACCTTGGGAGGGGAAACTATCTATCTATCTATCTATCTATCTATCTATCTATCTATCTATCTATCTATCACCTATGAGCCTTTTCACTGCAGTTCTATATCTTCACCACTAGATGTCTCTTAGTTCTCACAGGTCGGCTAAAGATAATGCTAATTAATATTAATTGATTATAATTAATAATTACTATTAATTAATATTATTATTTAATTAAAACCTGTCTGCAGCCCAAAGAAGTTTAGCCTATTTTAATTTTAGCCTCCATCTACTGCCAGGTTGTGCAGGCCTGTGCTATATCGTATTTATAGATTAAGAAGGATCTTTCCTTTAAAGTTGGTGAACATGGGTCTAAGAATGTTCCTGAAATATAGTTCCCATTAGTCCTAACCAGCCTAGACAATGGAGAAGAATGATGGGATTTGTAGTCCAACATCTTGTGGTCCACATGTTTCCCCCATCCTTCCTAATTTAGGGGGGTTGCAGACTGCCAGAAATAGTGCAAATTGAGTCCACTTTTAGGGTTAGGGTTAGGGTTAGGGAATCATGGGAACTGTATTTTATTGTGGCACCAGAGCTCTCTGACAGAGAAGGCTCAATATCTCAGAAAAAAACCAAATCCCATGATTCCCTAGCACTAATCCTAACCCTTAAAGTGGACTCAATTTGCACTATTTCTGGCAGTCTGCAACCCCCCTTAGTCCCTGCTATGCCAGTATGCACTCTGGGAGTTTTTCCATCCAATTGGCTTACAGTGCAATAAATACACATCTGTTACTTTTCGTATATGAATTGCAATTCTATTAGAAAGTAATGTTCTGGCTAAAAGCAATGGATAGTTCATCAAGACACTACCTACAAGCTATTTGTCTATATAGAGATGGAGAAAGGCAACTGATTCTACGTCTCCAAGATAACATCATGCCTCAAGGTGACTTTTTTTCAACCTGCAATTTCCATTTTGCAACTACAGATGCTATGGCTATGATATCTGGTCACAATGATTTTTGGATTTTCCTGTTTGCTTCTGTACACCATCCAATGATGCATAATGCCCAACATGATGAAAAATTTTGAAGTGTGGGTTTGGGGGGGGACGGCTATTGCCACTGAAAAATAAATCTGCCCCCTCCATGAAATGTTCCTTTAGTCCCCAAATTTCTAGCACTGCGGAAAATTGTTCCACCTAGAGCATTGAACTAGAAAGCCAGTGTAGTGGCTTAAGCGTTGGACTATGACTCTGGAGGCCAGGATTTGAATCCTGGCTCAACCACTGGGTGACTTTGGGCAAGTCACACTCTCTCAGCCTCAGAGGATGGCAATGGCAAACCCATTCTGCAGAAACATGCCAAGAAAACTCCATGATAGGCTCGACTTAGAGTCGCCATAAGTTGGAAACAACTTGAAGGCACACAACGACAAGAATTCTTATATCTTCTGTGTGGTAACATTGCCTGCCCCTTTGCTATGTATTTCTAAATGCTCAACTGAAGTTTTAAGTTACTGCAATGCTAAATATTTGGGGAATGAAGGAGAATTTAAGTGGTGAACTGATTTCTTATTTGGGAGCAACGTCCTCACTCCCGCCCAGGCCTCCTGCAGTAATACCCTTCTTCTAAAAGACTTGAAAGTTCATCTTTAAAATTCTGGGAAGTGTAGCTGTTCCCAGTTCCCAGAATTCCATAGCCTTAAGCCAGGGCAGTTAAAGTGGTGTCAAACTAGATTATTTCTGCAGTGTGGATAAGGCATAAGTGTGGCCTATGCTGGTTGTGGGTTTCTGAAAATCTTGGTCCCCAAACCCTAAAACAAACTTTCCCCAAATAAAACAGCAGACAAAATGGCTCCTTCATTTATTTTATTTTTAAGGCAGGCAGTTCAGACTTGGCTTCAGTTTGTTTGTTGTTTTCAAAGCCTGTTACATTTTATTATTCATTATTCTTGTGGCATTCTTTGTTAGCAGTGCCCATTTTTAGTGTTTTCTGGTTTTACGACTTCTTTTTTTTTAAATAGTGTTTTAATTATACAGTACTTTTACAAAGATCAAAAGCCCAAATAACATCCATGTTTAACAAACAAAAGGCATTCAAAAGATCAAATAAAGAAATAGGATTTTACAATGGGGTCAGGACAGTGATGCCTCTCTGACAGAGAGCCACTTTGCCTTAAAAAGGCTTGAAAAGCAGGTTGCATAAAAAGTGGTAGAGTTATTATTATTCCTCATACATCTAGCTTCATTATGGTGACCCTAGCAGCTATCATGGGGTTTTCTCAGCAAAGTTTGTTCAGAGGACGTTTGCCATTGCTTTCCTTTGAGGCTGAGACAGTGTGACTTGTCCAAGGCCACCCAGTCAGTTTTTATGGCTGAAGCAGCGAATCGAACCCTGGTCGCCAGAGTCCCAATCCAACGCTCAAACCACTACACCACACTGGCCACTGTAAATGTAATGCAGTTTTACACCAGTTGAACTGCCATGGGTCACTTCCACCCTACAGAATCCTGGGATTTGTAGTTTGATGGGCCACCAGCACTCTTGAGGAGCAAACATTGTAAAACTACAAATCCCAGGATTCCATAGGATGGTGCCACAGCACCTGAAGTTGTGTCAATCTGCATGATTTTAAATTTTTTACAGTGCAGATGCACCCATAGATTCTTAAGGAAATCCTGGGAGGCTCTAAGCCATTTCAATAGGATGGAATAAGCAGCTGTCTTTTCATTTGCTCCAAAATCCTATACTTGTCAAGGCATTTCCAATTTATGGCAATCCTAGGACAAACTTTTTCTTGGCAAGTGTCTTCAGAGCAGGGTTGCCATTCCCATCCTCTGAGGCTGAGAGGGTGTGACTTGCCCAAGGTGACCCAGTGGGTTTCATGGCTCTGCAGAGGTTCAAACCTTGGTCTCTAGAGTCATAGCCCAATGCTCAAACCACTATGCCAGGCTGGCTCTACTCAGAATTAAGTCCCATTGTATTCCCTGGGCTTACACTCAGGAAACTTAGTATTCACTTATGTGGGAGCAGAGCTTGGCAAATTTACTATTTTCGGACTACCGCTCCTGGAATCCTTTAGCTAGTAAGGCTACTAGCAATGCTGGCTGGGAGATTTGGAAGTTCTATCCAAAAATACAACTGAGTACAAAAAAAGTATTCAGTGAGGCTTGGATTATTCATTTATAGGAGTGCATTGCTAGGCACAAACCTATGGAGATTCAACATGGAGTAAATGTTGCCAAGTACAGTGGGATTATTTCAGGTAATGAAACCCACTGGGTGACCTGGGGCAATTCACACTCTCTCAGCCTCAGAGAATGGCAACGCTAAACCACTTCTGAAGAAACTTGCCAAGAAAACCCCATGACAGGTTTGCCAGAAGTCAAAGGACTTGAAGGCACACACAACAATAAAACCTCTATAGGTGTGAGCTGCAGAGCTATTTACTCCAGCTGATGTAAAATCAGTTTTTAAATTTCTAGTGTTTATGACAGAGCAGTCTAGCTAGATCAGTTGGTAGAGCATGAGATTCTTAATCTTAGGGTTGTGGGTTCAAGCCCCACTTTGGCCACAGAATCTTTTACATTTGCTGCTGCATTTCTTAAGGAAAACTGGGTGAGAAATTAAAACCAGATTTCAGAAATTATATTTATTATATAGTCAAACTGGTATAGTGATTTGAATACTGGACTCCATGAGACCAGTGGTTGAATCTCCATGGAAACCTCTGGGGATCTTTGGCAAATCACACTCTCTCAGCCTCAGAGGAAGGCAATGGCATTCCTCTTCTTGCCAAGAAAACTCTGTTATAGAGTTGCTGTAAATCAGAAATGTCTTGAAGGTACAGAGTAACAAATGTATGTAATTCTTAAGTAGGTACAGCTATAACTCAGTAGATCAGGGGTAGGCAACCTTTCCCCTTTAAGGGCCAAGGGACTTCAGCTCCCAGAAGCCTCAGCCATGTTGGCCAATAGTCCCATGTTGGCCAATAGCTCCTGGGATTCTGGGAGCTGAAGTCCCTCGGCCCTTAAAGGGGAGAGGTTGCCTACCCCTGCAGTAGATGAAGTGGATGTTGATTTATGGTTAGAATGTGTGCAGAGTGTATGCAGGACTGCCTTTCACCAGCTCCATAAATCTCTGGATCTGTAACTTGCTGAAGCCTTCTGGTATTAAAAAGAAATTAAAAAATTTAAAAAATATATGCATGAACTAGACCAGAGACCAAATTCTCTTCAAAAGAAGGGTTTCTATTCTTCAGATTCAGAATTAACATAGTAACTATTTACATTGTAGAAAAGCCATTAGAACAAAGAAAACTCCGTGCCAAGCCCAGCAAGCCACTCAAGGAAAAACTCCACCCCCAGGGTGTTACCTTTATAGACATTTGCTAAACAGCTCCAAACCCAGCCTTCTTCTGTGTGTCATGTGTCATGTAACCCTGGTTCTCACCAAACCCAATGACCTAATCTGTTTACACTCTTTCTTCCATGTTCCCAGACACAGACTGACCTTGGCTACTTTGTTTTGTATAATCCACCTGCAGGCTGAAATTTTCACAGGAGAACTTTCCCACATCTGTACATTTCCATTTTGACTACAAATTCCAACAGTGGATGTGTATCTAGGTGTTGTTTCTGTAACAGAAAATCTGGTTTCAGTGGCAGAAGCTGTCATGCTTAGTAGCCAGAAACTTGAAGAACCAGGAAAACATTGTTAAATATAAATTCATTATAGCTTTATTCTGGAATCAAGATACTTTGCCACAGCAATCCTTTTAAGAAACAGTTCTGAGTTTTCCACCACCAAGCCAGTACTTAAAAATCCTCTGACCAAATCACTCCCACCCCTCTTAGTCCGTTTGTCCACATCAAAGGATCTTTGAAGTTTAGTTCTTCTAGGTTCATCTCCTTTCATCTCCTGGGATCGGAAGGCA